GAGGCCACCAATATTTGGTGGCCGACCAGTAATTGTGCCTGACCCTTTTGAACCCCTCTAAAAAATAGGTTTTTCTCTCTCCTAGTTCACATTCTCCGAGTTTCAACCACATAGTTGTGTTGTGCACACATGGGAGGCCACCTTTTTTAGGTGACCGACCAGCAATTGTCATCGACCCTTTTGACCCTTGGTCGGCCGGCCATGGGAGGTGGCCGGCCGGCCCCCTGAACCTTCTGAACCTGGCCGGCCGTGACCCTCTCACCTGGTTCCTTACAGCTGCACCCTCTGTTTCCCCCCAGATCCTGTATCCGAGGGAGGGTCTTTTGGGAGGGAAATTTGAATTTCATTTTCCCCTCTTTTCTCCTCTCCTCTCCTCTATAAAACCAGCCCCTCAGATCCTTGTTTAAGGGTTACAAAAATTTGTTTGGAGCTCTTGCATTAAATCTCCTTCTCTCTTTATTCCAACCCTCAAAACACCCTTAGCCCTACACCATTTACCCTACACCTCATAGCACAAGGCCTCCATCCCTCATTCTAGCAACTTGAGGCTGCTTTCCAGAGGTGAAGAGCTCCCAAAATTGGTCCAAGAGCTACTGGTCCATTGGTCTACAAGGGTGAGTCCCACTTTCTCTTTTTCTTGCCTTGTTTTGCTTTCTATCTAAGCCATACTTTCTTGCATTTTTGGGCTCCGACCCAAACTGTAAATAGTCATATTTTGTGCTCATCTCCATGTTTGATTAAGGGTCTTTCTCTGTTTGAGGTTCCCTCCTCACCCTTTATGTTTAAACTCTCTTTTAGGTCAATTTTTGTATAGTATTTTAGGCCTATTTGTGAGCTTTTTTGGACTTTTCCATAAACTGTAAAATATCTTGTTTTGAGCCCCTCTTCAACTTTGTTGAAGGGCTCTCCTCTGTTTGAGAACAACAGCTACCACTTGTCTCTTCATCTCTCTTTTAGGCCTTTTCTTGCATGATAGTTTGGCCTTATTTGTGATTATTTTCGTGGCTTGATGTAAACTGTAAAGTGCCTTGTTTTGAGCCCCTATTCAACTTTGTTGAAGGGTTCTTCATTTTTTGGGGCCAGAAGCTACTACTTTCTTCTTTATCTCTCTTTTGGGGCCATTTTTGCATGTTAACTTAGCCCTATTTTTGTTTGTTTTTGGGACTTGTTATAAACTGGAAATATGTATGTTTTGGGACTACCTTGAATCTTTATTCATGCTTCATGATCAAATAATGCATGCTTTGTATAGCTATAGGCCAATGCATATGCCTAGTTTTGTGTTTCGGGGCCATTCCATGCATCGGGTGCCATGTTTCCATGATTCGGGGCTGTTTTGTATCACATTTCAGTGCTGGAATTACATGCTTGTATGTCATATTTCATGCCTTGCCATACCTTGTTAGAGTTGCATACTATGCCTTAGGTTTGGTCCTCAGTTTGCGTGCATGCATGCACGCATTTCAAGAGTCTCATTTTCATCTAATGGCTACTGATGTGAGTGTGGCTGAGGTCCATTCATGTTAGTGTAAGTCCATCCTGCATTGTGTATGCCATGTTTCAATGCGTTGTACATGTTATGTTGTTAGCATTGTGTGTGCCATGTAGTTGCATTGCATGTTTGTATGTTTGCTTGCATGCTTAGGTCGCAAGTGCATCGTTGTGCATTGCCTCGCCTCTTGATCAATCATGATTGAGGTTGGGTCCCTTGTATGTTTTGTGTGTATTGCATTTGACATTGAAATGCACACTTGACTTTTGGGCCATCATGCATTGAAATGCGTGATTGATGGCCCGAGGGTCGAGGGCCATGCTCCCTTGAGTCCATTGCATGATAGGGAGAGTGGCCATGCATACATTGCTTTGAATTTCCATGCCATGTAGTGTCTACCCTCTGCTGCTGTCAAAAACAGGTTCTGCAGGAAGCTTTGGCCGGCCGGCCACCTATACTGCCGACCGGCCATTCATTGTTGGCCGATGGATTTAAAAATGGCCGATAACCATCCGGACATGGCCGGTGGTGATCCCACTTGGTCGGTGATTCTCCCCAGTGTCCCGAGAGTGCACCTTGGGAGTTGCACAATTTTCAGAGGAGCAGAGCAGTGTAAACAGAGGCAACAGTGGCATGGCACGGGTTTCCGAGCAAGGCGAGTCAAGCATGCATCATCCACGCATTCCGAGGCAGAGCTGTGGCCACCTTCTTCCTGCATTTAATTTGTTAATTAATTAGAAATTCTGTAATAATTCATTTAGTACTCGGACTGTAATATTTATTTGGACCCTCCGAGCGAGGGCAATTGTGTAATAAGTGTGCGTGAGTGTGTGTATGTCTTCCAACCCCACGTCTTTCTTCCCTTTTATTTACCCACTTATGATGGTAGACTAGGGCATATTTAAATTAGCATACCTTATGCTATGCATGCGTGCATCATTCATCAGTATTGCATGCACCAGGCTCGGCGCATCATACTAACTGCATAAGTATTTCAAATCTAACTTGAATACATGCTACTTGTCCATTTTCACATGTCATTTATAGACTAGCCGAGCCTACTCTAGTGACATTCCGTATGCGTTGCATTAGGCATTTAAACATGGACTTGGATCATGCATGATTGCTAACATGTTATGTTTTGGCTTGGAATACTCGGTACGCATTTATGCTTTAGCATACCGCATGCGTGTGAGTGTTGCCATAATAGTATGATTGCCATGAGGCTAGATGCTTATGTGATATAACTGCTTGAGTGCCTGTGGGTGGAGGTTGAATTAACTAAATTGAGATAATGCATTGAAACTGTGAGTTTTAAGCCCACTAGATAGTGGCAAAACCATCTTTTCTAAAGCCCACTTGAGGGTGGCAAAACCTACATTTCAGCCTACTAATGGTTTTGAGCAACCAAATATACCACGTGAATCACAACGCGGCATAGAACGCGTTACCACTTTGACCCGTGAAAATCGACGCATGGGGCCCACCTAAAAAATAGACTGAACTTAGGAAAAAATTCTGGTTTTATCTAGAATTTTATAACCATTTCCAACACATTCTTGTCTTGCCATGTGTCCTTCCACTCATCCACTTTGTCCTTCATATTCTCCATCATCTCTATAACTTCTTTTAACTTCCAAATGAATAAGAGGATGCCACGTGTCCTGAAATTATATAATAATAAAATTGCAAATTTATGGTGTTAACACACTTACAACCCCCCACAGTCTTTCATTTGTATTCCACTACAGATACACTTGCACCCCTATGTGTTTGTAATTTTTTTTCAACTCCTACCTGCATGTGATTGCCCTGACAATATACAAATCCACCTTTTAAACTCATTTTATAGACCCAATGATGTGTAAGTGAAGTGATTAGTTGATGATTAGAGAAGATATGAGAGAAAGTGTTATTTTTAATATATTAATTGATTGCCACATCACTCAACTTGAAAATTGAATCTAATTTTTTGATCTTGAATAACAACGCTCAATAATGTATTATAAAAAATAAAAAAAAAACAAACTTTAAATTTCCGCATGTATATCTACCATTAATAGAAAATTTAATTATTTTGATTTTAGTTGATGATACTCAAGAGTATAAGGGGTTGTTTTGGGTGTCCTAAATAATAAGTATACTTTTTGTCTTTTTAAATTAAAAAGTTGAGGTTGAAAATATGAATGTTTGGGCTAACTTTTTGACTTTTTATGGAAAAATGTGTATTAAAATTTTTTATAAATTAATGTGTCAGAGAAAATTAGTATTGGGAGTTGTGCAGCCGTAATTGTTGACTTTTGGTGAATAGTGATATCTTTTTAACTTTTTGAGTAATTTTTTGACTTTTTAACTTTTTAACTTTTTATGAACTTCCCAAACTTGCCTAAAACTCCAATGCACTTAACTGGAACAATAATACATATAACCATATTTATGTAAGAACAGTAAATCACTTGAAAGGTTTCAAGTTTTGCAAATAGAATTATTGCAGGACACAAACCAATTATCATCCTTTAAATCATGGTGGATTGATTCCTTGTCATACGTCACTTGCGTATACGCCTGGACTGATTCCTAATCGTACGGCATATAGTAAATGCCTTCATGGGGAGAATGAAATGTGGAACCCATAGTTGAGCACTGGTTCGCATCTCAACAACATCACCTTCCAGACTGAAATGGAAAACATTGAAAGATTAGCCAAAGTTCAAATATAAAACATCTATCTTTGACAATCAGTTGAGAAATTGGGTACTTGTATGAATCATGGAAACTGAATCCTGCAATTTTGCTTATATTACTTTTGAAATGGCTTCACCCTAGTTCAAGTCTCTCTCATTGTTTTAATGGTGCATTCTCATTCTTCCTACTCTCATGACAAAGAATACTATGCATGACAAGCATTTCAAAAGTAGAGGGTCAATCACCCATTCAGGCGATTCACCACCACTTCAGGAATCTACCTGCTGGCCAAAGTAGAGAGTACTGCATAAGTAACCATGAAACGGTGTTCGTTAATAAACAGGCCATTTGCATTGAGGCATGCCAATCAATGATTGTGTCTATTATTTAAACAAACAAATAAAAGGATCGATCCCTAGTAACCCCAATAGAGTGTGATTTATTATGATGCCACAACATCCGCAGACCTATCCTCCAGGCTCCAGTCTAATGGTAGATAAACAATGAGCCTCCAATCTATCTATATGCCAATATGTTGGACTCGAGGATTTGGTTATAAGACAAAAATATCTGGGCTGGAAGCATCTCAAAGCTTTACTGGCTGTTTCTCAGCTGTACTGTCTCTCGCATCAGATTGTTTTAGTTATTACATTACACCAACTCAAACTCAACAAACCCTACCGACAATCTAGCAGACCAAAAACGTTGGGATGTCTATTAGCTTACCCATAATTATATAACCCAGCCAGCCAATGCACCCCAAATTTGGCACCTCAAAGTTCTCATATGAAATTCAACTAATACCATTGAATGACATAATATATAACCAGCCAAACTTATGCCACACATGAAATTCCATTTCTGACATATATAGCTCATCCCAATGACATGAGGAAATAGCAAGAAAATAAGCTATGCTTATGGTGAGCTTTCAAATCTTATGCAGCCGTCATTTCTATAACATGGAGCATTTCATACTAGTTCTACACAAACAAATTGATGGACCAAAATGGCAAAAAGAAAATTAGGAAAGGAATGAAGGAATCAGCTCCCAACTAAGACAATGGCTTGTTAACAAAACTTGAGTAAAATGGTTTATTGAGAAGATGATTTAAAGAGTAAACTTAACAAACCTGAACGAGAGAAATATCCAATTCACTTGGGAAGGTACTGTGACCACGAGGGGATTCAGGTGAACTCATATCATGCACACTTTCCCCAGCATTTTCATTGGGAGACTGAGTAATTACACTCTCTTGAGTGTCTTTTCCTTTATACGAGAAGTTTGAGGTTGAGCAACTGGATAAAGGAACAGAAATTCCGGTCCGTTTTGAGGGAAGATCAAGGCGCTCAATCATTTGTGCAACACCAGCAATACCTGCATTCATCTCACGTTGAACTCATCTTGCTAATTCTCTGACTGAGATATTGTGCGCAAGTAGCTTCTCTTTAAATCCTCGGGTACTTTTTGAGATTGATTCCTTATATCTGTTGCACAAGAACCATACATCCAAGAATCAAAGAAATGAAACAAGCAAGCATCAGCTCCTAAAGAAACCAAACTATCAAAAAAAAGTACCTGGCAGAAGCTGCAGAAAATTTCAATTTAACAGACTCCAAGAAAGCAAGAAATTCAGATGAGCTTGGTCTTTGTGGACTTTCGGAGCTGCAAAGGACTCTGACTAATTACCAAACATGTAGAAAGTCATAGAATCATGTATGTGTAAGAACAGTCCGAAGAAACAGACACAAGGGATATTAGGTTGCAACAAACTTCTACATTATCAAACTCCTTCATTCACTTGTAACATTCAAAAACTATTCATCGATTATAAGGAATGAGTTAAGAGTGTGTTGGTTTATTGAAATTAATTCATGAATATATATATACCAAAATACAAGGATCAAAAGTTCTGGCAGGTACCTGGGTTTATTGCAACGGTCTCTGTTGCCAACAGAGTTGGGTTCCACATTCACAACCTCTGGAACCACAGACCTTAGAGTGCTAAATGTTGGTGAATCACCCTCCGAAAACTCATAACTGGAAGTTTGGCGTTCTTCTGGTGATGTTGTGCGCAAATGCTGCACATCAGGTAGAGGTAGATCTCCAGTAGGAACAGAGAGCAGAACCAGCGGAGGACCAATACCAGAAGATCTCGGCCTTTCCCTTCTCTCAACATAACGAGCTCTGCGTGCTGCAGCAGCAAAATGCCTCATAATACGCTCATTGAAATCTGAATCATCTCCATAAGAATTAGCCTGAGAGACGAATTTCATTATTAGCAAGCTATTTAACATAACCAATTTGAAGGATAAGTAGATTCAAGTTAAACCATAAAACTCACAATATTCATTTCATAGTCCTCACGGATATGGCGAGCATTGCGCCTTGACCTCAAATTCCTTTCATTCTCCACTGCAGCTAAAAGCTCTTGACTAAAGGTAGAAGAAAGAAACTTGACAATAAATAATAACTTCATGAGATTGAATTCATCATTGAGACACCGACACTAAGAAATTCATGAGTTAACAATAACAAATTTTTTGTGTGCCAATGTGATTCTTTCCACACAAAAATCATCTACCTGGAAGGGTCCTTCAAGACAAGAAGCTGCCAACATATAGGGCACTCTTTGCTTCTTTGTGACCTGAAGAGAAACAAGTTACCATACGAACAAACGAACACAATGTACAAGTAAAAAACATGCATGTGAACACATGGGTATGAAGTGCCATCACTGAAATATTGGTTCTAAAGTTCCAGACAGTTCAAGTTTAAACTAAATAAAAAAAGTAAGTGCATCTACCATTCAAGAATACACTGGAGATGATACTCATGTCTACAGTTGGTGACCTGTGAAAAGAAACAAAACCTCAAAGATTAATACTTGCCTGAACCTACATGTAATTATCTATAAAATGAGCAAGAACAACCAATATATCAGGACAAGTGTATTTATCATAAATTACTAGCAATCATTTGCCAAATTCGCTGTCACGACCTTAAAATTCAAAATTTTGTGACACAAACCCAATCATGAAGAGAAAAAGAGTTGCAAAAATAGAAATTCAAAAGAATAACATAATTGACCCCCAAATATATCCGATGAAGATGGCAGAATTCCAGCCAAATCAATCAATGAACTCTAAAATTAAACAGGAAAATCGGGTTTATTGCCACTACTGATCCAGCACAATATATCAATGATGTAGAAAAAGGCACAAATTGACAATCTGAGATCATAGAATCACAAAATTCGATGAAACCAACTAACCTAATTACAAACTTGAAACTCCATGAAACATATACAAACCAAACGATGATAATCCGTGACAAGATTTCGAAGTGAGAGCAAAAATTAAGCAGCTATTTTATTTCACAAATAAACTCATTCCAACTAGTTCAAAGACCATGTCTCGAGTTGTTCAAGTTCGAAGCTTCAAATCTCAATTCAATTCAACCTAAAATCACAAATTTAACATTCTTCGACTCTACTAAACACATACAGTGGGAGGATCTTGGGAGTTGAAAGGCTCGAGACAGATACTACATGCGTCTTCGAAATCATCAGAGGATTGTCGATTGAGGATACCAAATCCGCCATTTTTACAGTGATCAAGACTCCAGAGAGAGAGAGAGAGAGAGAGAGAAATGTTTGGGTAGAGAAGACGGAGATTATAAGGTGAAGTAAGGAACCCTAGAAAAATGAGAGAGAGAGAGAGAGAGGAATGAAGACGAAGAAGAGAAAGGGGCAGAAAACGCAGGAAACTTCCGCGATTCAGACGGTTGGTAGAAGTAATCAATCAAACCCAAAGGGTCTGCCTCGTGAAGTTTATATTTTCGGTTTATATTCACAAAAATTTTATAATTTGATTTTTATTTATTTTTAAAAAAATATAAATTATAAACGTATTTGGTAATTAATAAAATATTTTAAAAAATTAAAAAATACAAAAAAAAAGTGAAAAATAGCAAGTGGTGGCAAGTAATATTGAAAAAAATCCAATACTACTAAAAATAAATTATGTAATTGATCCCACGTGAGACACATGATTTTTTTGGGATTAATTCTATCAAGACTTACCTAACTATTTGTAACACTCTATTCTCTTTATTGATAAATCTGTTTAAATTGATCACTTTAATTATAAAAATTATATAAATACAACTCTTGTGAAATTGGTCTAAAAGAATGAAAGTAATAATATTTTTTAGTTGAAGTGGTCAAAATTTATTGATTCATAAATGAGAGGTAAGTTGACATTCACAAATAAATAAATGAAATAGTCTTAGGCTTGATTTGGCATGTTCTAAAAAAGTTAAAAAGTTAAAAAGTCACTATCCTATTTAAGTCGCATCATCTTATTTAAGCCACATTACCTTTCTATCACATCACTTCAAATCCAACCCATATTTCATAAAAAGTCAAAAAGTATATTTACTTAGAACATCTTAAACAATCCCTTAATGTAATTAATCCATTATTTCGTTTAATATAAAATAAAATAATTGCATGTCCCTCTATAATTGAAAAGTCACACAAAATTATATATTGTTTGGGATAACCTACAAAAGTTAAAAAGTCAAAAAGTTACTAAGGTGGTGTTTGGCAAGAAGGTTTGGGTGAGTTAGGGGCTAGAATAGTCACAAAAAACAAAATAAGCTATTTTAGCCACAAAAAATAAAATATCAAATTCAACCCATAATCATTACAATCCTCTCTCACAAAAAAAGTCAAAAAAACCAAAAAGCCAAAAAGCCCTTCCCAAACAAAGCTAAAATAGCTAAAAAGTCAAAAAGCCAACCCACTTCCCAAACGGAGGCTAAGTGTTTGTTTGGGATTTACTACAAAAATTACAAAGTCAAAAAGTTACTAAAAAAGTCAAAAATCCCATACTATAAGCGTGTGGGGGAAGCTATTTTTTTTTATATATATCCAACAGGTTCAGTCAGTGTACTTTGTACATACATTTAGCAAAGTGAGAAGATATGGCACATCCCAAGCCACGAATTCCTATTTAAAAAAAAAAATTCATGCACACCTCAAAAGTCAACAATTTGGTCAGTGTACTGTGCATTTATAATATTTTATTACACAATTTTTTTATAAAAACTCGAAAAATTATTCCAAACATACATATTTTTTTATCTACTTTTTTAGTCAAAAAGTACACTTATATAGCACATCCCAAACAACTACTGAAAAAGTCAAAAAGTCCATACTATTCAAGAGTAGCTTGTGGGGAAACCCTAAAGGGCAAAATTATTATTTTGCCCTTTGAATTCAACTACCCAAAAGTCAAAAAGTCAAAAGGGTAGAATGGTCATTTTGATTTTATTGCAATATTTTATCATATATCTTTTTGTAAAAAATAAAAAAATTATCACAAACATACATCTTTTTTTCTTTACTTTTTTAATCAAAAAAATCAAAAAATGTATTTATATAGCACATTGCAAACAACTAGGGAGAATTGTCATCAAAATAGGGTCTTATTATTATTTTTATTTATAGGAGTTGCATTTTAAGGTTTTATTCCTCTTTAATTTTTAATGCCTTAAGAAGAAAAATTAAATAAAATAAAAATGTAAAAAATGATCCTAGACCATTCTATTTTGTAAATTTCTAGTTGATGAGGTTGGCGTCAATTATGAGGTGTGAAGGTGAAAGTATGAACCAACCACCACAAATCCAAGCATATGGGTTTACAAAAAGTAGCAGACAAGCAATATTAAAAAATTAAAAGAAAAAGGTGTAAAAAAAGTTGTGAATTTAGTTTTCTTTGGGGAAATGTGATTTTTAGTTTGAAATGTACTAATTTAGGTGTAAGCTTTTACAAGACATAGCTATTCATTTTTTTTATGTGAAAAATCATATGGTGGGATGGACCCATGTGAAAAAGAGGTGTTGATTAAACAAAAATGAATATTCACTTAAAAATTTAAGTTACTTTAACATAACTTTCATTGATTAAATTAATTTTTTTTTAGATATTTTTAAAATAAAGAAACTTGTGTTGACCATAACTTGTTTCTCTATACTTCATTGAACATAACTTGGATTTGATTTGATTAGCGACTTTGTTTAGTGACCACTCATATTGACTTGAAATTATCTCAAGAAATAATTGACCAAGTTTTTTATTTTTATTTTTTCATGGGAGATAAATGAATCATGCTTATATACTTTGAAAACATTAATATGGTTGGTTAGTTTTCAAAATATTTTTGAGATTTTTTTTTTCAAAAAGCAAACACCATAAAAATTATTTGTGAATTTTCTAAAATTATTTCCGCCTACCTAAAAAAAAAGGGGAAAAAATGGAAATAATGAGTTATTTTATTTTTATTTTTTTTTGGCCAAACTAGCTTTTGAAAAAATTTAAGAAATAGATCCTGAAAACTTAAATCAATTCCAAGAAAATCTATTATTTAGTTTAATTGGTTTATTTGCAGCTTCATGTGTAATTATATTATCAAAAATTTTAATTGATCAAAAATTATAATTGACATTTACATTTCTCTTGAAATTTGAGCTTATAAAACTTAATTGTATAAATATATTTTTTTCCCTTTTGCAAAATATTATAAAACACGGTCTCAATCGGATAGAGTGAAGTTCTAACAAAGTATAATTATCATAGTTGATTTGCTTTGAAATGATGACACAAAGAACAAGATTAAATAATTAGGTGCAACTATAAAGATTTATAATGAAAATATTAGTGGAGCTAATTTAGAGATATATTGGAGTTAGAGAAAAGATAGTTAAAAAAAAGAAAAAGAAAAAGAAAAGTAAAGTAAAAAACGAGAAGAAGAAGTTAATAACACGTTTAGATCTTTAATTTGTTAAAGAAAATAAAAATTGAAATATGTAAGTATGGTTAATAAAATGAATTTGTATTTCACTTTCTTCAGTTCTAATTTTTTTTTTTTTTATATTATTATTAGAGAGACAAGTCAGAGAAAAGATAGTTCATCAATAATAAAAAAATAAAATAATATATTTGGATCTTGAATTTGTTATAAAAATGAATTTGCATCTATTCAGTTTTTCCCTTTTTCTTAACTTAAAAACAAAAATAAATTTTAAAATTTCACTACTTATTTATCTCAATTTTTTAAGGCAAAATTTATTTTATCCCTTGTGATTTGAGATCAGAATACTTTACTTTTTATGGTTCAAATATAGTCACGAAGCTTCTATATAGTTTTGGACTAAAGTGCACCTGTTAATACTATTAACTACAAATGTAAAATGATCACAAATCCTTTTTTTTTTCTCTCTCTCTTATCTCTCATACACATAATTTATAATGACTAACATTAATTTAATTAAATCACAATTAATTATAAAATTTTAATTATTATTATAATTCTTAACTTTTAATCTTAATTTAATTATATTTTAGATGAAAATTAATTCTAAATTCTTAATTATTTATTATAATTCCTACCATGTTAATCTAATTTTAATTTAATTATATTTATATTTCAATTCTTAGTTGTTATTTATTTTATATTTTAAATTAATTCTTAATTATATTTTAATTTATTTTATTTTAATTAATATATTAATCTAATTTTAAGATTAGAGAAAATGGATAACATTGTCTTTTGTTATATTTATTTTATTTTATTTTTTCATAAAATCAAACTCTTTCTAAAGAATAGTACGTGTGTGACATACCTTCTATTAGTTTAGATTAAAAAACTAGAAAAATTTAGTCTAACATCCCTCTCTAACCTTCAGTAATGAGAAAGGTTCACAATATTTCTTTTTATAATCTAAAGTCCCTTCCGTTCATATGTAATAATTTTCTTAAATTACCATTGACATGTAATTTTTCTTTTTTCTTTTTTTAAAGCCAAAATAATGTATGAAGAAATTTTTTTTTAAAATTTATTTTTTGGGGAACTATATGCAAATGGGAGAAGGGAAAAAAATTACCAACATATGAGGGATGTAAGTGACACTTGCACCCTTACAGTCTTTCATTTGCACCCCACTACAAACATAGTTGCACCCCCTATGTTCGTAATTTTTTTTTTCCATTCTTCCATCTCCATTTAGTTTCCTATTATTTTTAGGGAGAATTACATGCATGTAAGAAAAGGAAAAGATAATTATCAACGCATAAGGGAGTACAAGTGACACTTGTATCTGCACAATCTTTCATTTACATTCCACCACAAATATACTTATGCCTTCATGTATTGATAATTTTTTTTCTTTCTTCTAGCTTGATATAGTTCCACTTATTTTTAAAAGAAAAATACTATACGTCTTAAATTTCATAGATATTTAATTATTTATTTAGTAGAAAATGTTTGGAATAATGTAAATAAATATATTTTTTAACTTTTTACGAAAAGATATAAAAAAATAAAAAATAATAAAATTTTAAAAAATAAAAAGATAAAAAATATACTTATATGGTGTATCCCAAAGCAAGTCTAAGGCCACATTTGTTTGGCGGATTAAGTTGGATGAGATTATTAGTGAGATGATTGTTAATAAACAGATTGTTAATATGTGGATTGTTGATGAGGGATTAAATAAAAGTGTGTTTGTTTTGATGATAGTGTGAGAGATGATTAGTGATGGAATTGTTAAATTATTTTTAGGACGAATTGCACTAACAATTCCTGTAGTTTGGGATTTATGTCACTTTAGTCCATGACTTTTCAATTGTGACACATTTGACCTTGAATTTTGAATATTATTCCAAATAAGAACAATTGAAAATATCATTGCTCAATTTCAAGGGCAAAGTAGTCAATTTAACAAAATATAAACTAATCTGATAAAAATAAATGCCAAAAAAATGTTTTTGAATTTTTTAAAAATAATTTCTACCCACCAAAGATAAAATTATGTAAAATTGATAAATATTTTAGACATTTATTATTATTTTTAGTAAATTATTTTTTATTATGTGTTTGGATGATGATCATGTAATAGGTAGTTATTAAACTTTTAATGTGTAATCGATATATTTAATATATGAAATGTTTTTAGTTTTGAATTTTTTGATTTAATGGATTGATTTAATAATTATATCAAAGCCATCTTTGACTTTTGAAAAAATAAAAACTAATTCAATGAAAACAAAAAAATACCTATTACATGACCATCATTCAAACACATAATCAAAATTAATTTGGTAAAATAAATAAATAAATAAATAAAATATTTATCAAATATTTATCAATTTTACATAATTTTATCTTCAGTAGATTGAAATAATTTTTAAAAATTCAAAAATCTTTTAATCAAATTAATTTATATTTTATCAAATGGACGATTTTACTCTTGAAATTGAGGAATGATATCTTCAATTGTCCTTATTTGAAATAAAATTCAAAATTCAAGGTCAAATATGTCACAATTAAAAAGTCATAAATCAAAGTGATATAAGGTCCAAACTATAGGGACCGTTAATGTGATTCGCACTTATTTTTATATAAAATAAATAAATAAATTATTTCTATATTAAAAAACTAAAATAAATATTAAAATAAATAGGTGAACTTGGTAAAAAAAATAAAATAAAAAAAATGAATTTTTTATATAAAATATATTCAATCCCCTCACTATTTTTTTAATTCTACCTAAAATTCACCTAAACTAATTTCACTACTAAACCTATAATATTTTGTTACATCCAAACAAAAATTTAATAATCCTACAAATTGATAATTTAATCTACTCTTCCAAATCTCTCAATCAAACATAATGCCTTTTAAAGCGTTATCATGAGTGGTTCCACAAAATCAACAACTTTTAACGTGTTATGACCAGCAAAGTTCAATCAAAACGACTTCGTACTAGAGGTAAGCAGCGGATATATCAATCCGCCAAAACCGACCGAACCGAACCGATCCGCCGCATTTTGGACGGATGCGTGATGACGAGCGGACAGTTGCGGATTGATTTTCTCCAATCCGCCAATTTGGCAGACAGATGGCGGATTTGAGATTCCTTTGAGCGCAACCGAACCGCCAAACCGCGAGCACCCTTAATAATTTATAAAACTTTATATTTTCAATTTGTTTAAATATTTTGTTTGTATTTTCAATTGAAAAAGAGTTTAAATATTCTGTTGAAAAAAAGTTTTCAACTGGAATATATTTTTTGAATTGAAAAAAATAAACGTATTATTTATTTATATTTTTTGGTTTTTAAATCTAACTCTAAAAGTAATAAATAGAAAATATGATATATGCTGGTTGGTTTTTATTTTAAAAAACATATATAAATGTAACAATACAGAGACATACAATCTCTACTACTGCTTTGTTCATGGTTTTTGTGGTTTGAATTATTTTTATATTTTAAGATCCACATATTGTAATACTCTATGTGGATAAAGCATGCTATGATTGTAATATGTAGATGAGACATGTAGTGATTGTGATATTCTAAAATTTCAAACTTTCTTTCTTTGGATGAAGTATGCATTAATTGTAATACTTTTTTAAGTTATTGACTGTAATACTTTCTATTTATTTTTTTTTTTTTTGTGCACAAGTTGAATTACGTTGAAAATTTATAAAATTTTAAACCGCCAAACCGATTCGCATCCATCCGCCAATCCGCTTAATCCACATCCGCCGAATTGGCGGACGGATGCGGATTGATTTTCTCTAATCTGCCAATCTGGCGGACGGATGGCGGGTTGGAGGTTTCGTGGCCACAACCGACCCGCGCCCACCCATACTTCGTACGCTTCATTTTAATGAATGGACCATTCTACCCCTCAACTTTCTCAAAACTCCTCAACCGTAGATTTTCATCTGATCAAAACAAATCTCTAACTAGGTCCCAATGCTCTCATCCACAGCAGATCTTGTCCATCTCTCTCTCTCTATCTCTCTCTCTCTGTGCGCGAGCGTCCATGGCCTGTTTCTCTGCAAATCAGCTCTACTCTCTTTCATGGAGGTTCTCTGTTAAACCTAGACCACAAAACCCCAACTGCACTCGCTCATGGTTCGTTAACCGTAGAAATCGGACTCTCAGCCCTCTATCCAATTCCAATCGCCGGCCTTCACGAGCTTCTCTTGATTCTACGTGTGTTGGAATCGAAGCTGATATCTCAGAGAGGGCTTCGACTATCCGAGAACTCTGTGAAGATCACATTCCAGATCATATATTGCGCAGGCGAGTTTTCTTTCATTTTCCTTTTTTTCTGGGAATTTAATGGGTCTGTTTGGTTCCAGAGAAAATAGGGGAAAGGAAAAGGGAAAGCAATATGAGCTCTTTCTTCTATTTTTTAATTACTAATCAAGTTTCGTTCTTGATTTGCTAATCTAAACAGTTGAAACACAAGGCTCAGTTTGGTTAGGATGAAAATGGTAGAAAGTGAAAGAAATGATTTTTTTTTTTTCTAAGTTTGGTTAGCATAAGTTTGTTTAGGATGAAAGTGGTAGAAATTATAAGGAAATTAATTTTCTTGTACAATTCAGCATAATAGCATGGTAAGCTTTCAGTTTCTTGGAAAAAAAATACAGGAAAATATAAAAAAAAAAATTAAATTTGTTATAGAAGCAGTTACTTATAATTAGAATTCCTATTTTCTTATAAAATTTGTATCTTAATCAAATTCATATGAGAAAAAGATATTTTCTTTTTCTTTTCCTTTTCAGAGAGAGAGAGAGAGAGAGAGAGGGGGGGGGGGCTGAGAAAACAGATGAAAAGAAAAGGTAAAGCAATCATACCTCCTCTGATTTTCAACAGCTAATTAAGGTTTGCTCTATATTTGCTAATCAAAACAATTGAAACTATGAGATCTGAGTGTAACGATGTTCCTTTTCTACTAGTTCTCTTACTTACTCAATAACCAAACTTAGTGTAATCAAGTATTTTTCTTTTTCTTTTCTCATTTAACTGATTAGTATTAAAGTAGAATGATGAATATAGCCCAATGATTGGTTTAAAAGCAAGTTTTGGCTTTATGGTTTTCTGGATTGCTTTTATTTTCTTTGTTTTGTGCGCGATGATTGACACACTAGGACTGCAGAAATGTACAATACAAGTCTTTTTGAAATGTGCTGAAAATATACTGATCAGAATTGGTTTAACTTGATGCAGGGTGGAAGAGGTTGGATTTGTTGTGCCTACAGATGTGCAGCGGAAAGCTTTGCCGATTATGCTTTCTGGGCGTGATTGCATACTTCACGCTCAGGTTAATTTGTGCTTCAAGTTACATTCACAAACTTTCTATCTGTCAAATTAGCTTACCATCTTACAGACAGACTCATGCTTGGCCTAATATTGTAAATCCCATTTTTTGGATGCACTGGATCACATATATACCATAGTTAGTTTCTCTTCAAACTTGTCTTCCGTCAGTAATCTTTTGCTGAAAGGAATATAATGACACACATGGTTAATGAATTCAATAAGATTTGACGTACATGATTGATTGCAATCTGATGGATTGGTTATATATTGGTTATGGTTTTCATATGTATGTTCTTAAATGAAAAAATAAAGTTGTTGCTCTTTCTGACTCTGTAGCAGTGACAGGCTAATGTAGTTTTTTTTTGTTTGTTTTTGTTTTTTTTTTTTTTCTGATTTGGCCCTGTAGACAGGTTCTGGGAAGACCCTGGCATACCTGCTATCAATTTTTGCAGTTGTAAACACTCAAAGATCATCAGTGCAAGCACTTATTGTGGTGCCCACTAGTGAACTTGGCATGCAAGTATGAATATTGATGATCACTTCTACAAATTTTTTTTTTCTTTTTCTCAAGTTAAAAAATTTATATATGACTTGAATCTTACCAGGGCTATGATATGTGTTATTCTGATATTGTAATGTTTTGATAAACATGATTACAAAAGTTGCTCGTATGCTGGCTGCAAAACCTGCTGAATTTGGAGAGGAGGCATGCTGTGTTATGGCTCTTCTAGATGGTGGAATGCTGAGAAGACATAAAAGTTGGTTGAAGGTATCATGTTGATTTGTATGATCTTACGAATGCTTTTTTTTTTTTTGGTTGTACGTTTCCCGCATTAGAATTTTGATAAGAAAATTTATTTATAACTTGCTCTTATTGTCAGGTGGAGCCCCCTACAATAGTGGTTGCAACTTTGGGGAGTTTGTGTCAAATGATTGATAAGAAAATTCTTAAGCTAGATTCAATGCAGGTGTTGGTAATTGACGAGGTAATAAGTGAAATATAATTTACTCTATTTGTTTCTTACTTGGCTTTTATTCTTGGGATTGCCGTCTTTTCGGCCAAAGATTTTAAAGTTTAGCTTCCATATGGCAGGCAAGACCCCATTAAAAATGGGCGATTGGGTTTTGCTTATATTGTTAATGTGCATGTATGTTGATATATAGAATACATATATTCAGCATTTGCTAGCGGCGACATCTGCTTGAGAGCTTTTAATTCTTTTGAATGATCAGAAGAACTTCTTTGAAGTTTTATAAAATTTTTTTTTTTTGGAAGGGAGGGGGGCTTTTGGGCAAGATAAGTGGCTGCCCCTTTTTGTTTGAATGATAAGGTATATTAAGGTAGATGAGTGGGCATTTTTTACTAAAAGGATCCAATATGGGGCATATTTGGCTTCTCTCATTGTACAGAGGCTCATAAATTTTAGAGTATTTAATACAAAAGTTCATCACAGGAATTGACATGATATATTTTGTGCCTTCTAGGTTGATTTCATGTTCAATTCTTCTAAGCAAGTCAGTTCACTTCGAAAGCTTCTAATATCATACTCACTAAGAAATAATCGTCAGACTATTTTTGCCAGTGCATCAATTCCCCAGCACAAACGATTCTTATCTGACTGCATTCAGCAAAAATGGACCAAGGTTTGCTGATGGAACCTTTGTTTACATGTATTCGTTATTGGGCTTTAGCTCAATCTGCCGGTCATTGTATTACTTGCATACTAAATCGTATTTCCAACAGGATGATGTTGTTCATGTCCATGTAAACCCAGTTGAGCCAATGCCATCACGCCTGCATCACAGATTTGTGGTAAAAGAATTTGGAACCATGAAACTTGTTCAGTTTTGGTGTTGCTGTATTTCATATTCAGTTTATTTGTATATATAAGATCCTGATCTAAACAGAAACTATTTTTTTGATGGCATGCTTATCAGATGTGTGGTAAAAATGAAAGACATCAAACCTTGCTATCCTTGTTACGGGGCGATGCACCTCATTCTGCTATAATTTTTGTCAGCGTACAGGTTAATTCTGCCATGATTCTCAATTAATTTAAAATATATATTTGATATAGGACTGGCTTGACCCAAATAATTAAATTTGACAAATGTGATATCTAACTCACGGTTGATCACTTGAATAATGTGTTATTTTTACATCGATATTATATCCGACTTCTTGTTCATAATGTTCGTAGTTTGTTGCAAACTAAACATTGGTGACTCCAGTTAGTAGGTTAATATTATTTTCCAATTTATATTGCAGTCCGAGAAGTCAAAGAAGGCTGGCCATGCTCCACCAACAACTCTTCTAATTGATTTGTTGAAGACTTCTCTTCCAGGGTGTTTTGATATTCTTATGCTGGAGGAAGACATGAATTTCAATTTACGAGCAGCTTCGTTATCTGTAAGTACTGTTCAGCTCATGGATGCTAGTTGTATCTGTAACTCTTTATTGCATCCATAGGAAAAAAAATGGGTTGAAAATTGGATTAGATAAGGTCATCTCTGTATATTGTAGTATTTGATGTTTCCATATCACATTAGAAGATTCAGTTCAAACGGGGCCAACATATGTAATCCATTCAATCTTTCTTGTAACATGATTGGTCGAAGAAAAGATTGTAGACTTGAACAAGTTGGATTAGGCCCTCATTTTTTAACCTACCCCAAGGCCAGCCCTATATGGACTTATCGTGTGAATAATAGCATGCAAAGTAAACATGGCAAAATGAAACTTGTTCTTATTAATTAAATGATGGAACTGTTCTATGAAAAAAAAAAATCCCAACCCACATCTCCTAGATTGCCTGTGGCATACAACTAGCAAGTCACATGTAAGACTAAACGCTTTGGGAATTGGTTTGCACTAATCTAAACCCTTGAATGAAATATAACTTGGGAGGAATGACATATTTTGCTATTTTCTTCTTCTTCTTCTTTTTTTCTTTTCTTTCTTTCTTATTTATTTATTTATTTATTGGGTACTAAAAATGTACAAGACAATTTCTTATATCTTATGCTCTGTGGTAAAATGGACATTTAGGTGACAATTCCTTTCAGTTTGGTTTCGGAAAACTTGGTGGTGGCTGCTTTGTTTGTTCTATTGAAAATGGCTCTTATCCTTCCCTTTTCTTTTCCCTCCACAAATTCCTACACATATCTATGATCCAAACACAGCCTAAATGTCTGTTACTCGCTTCTTGAATACAGGAAATGAGACAAGGAAGAAGCTATCTTCTTGTGGCAACAGATATAGCAGCCAGAGGAGTTGATCTTCCAGAGATAACCCATATATATAACTTTGATCTGCCAAAAACTGCAGTGGATTATCTTCATCGAGCCGGGAGGACAGGTAGGAAACCATTATCAGACAATAAATGTTTTGTTACTAGCATTATAACATCAGAAGAACGGTTTGTGTTACAGAGATTTGAAAATGAACTCATGTTTCAATGTACTGAGGTGTTTCTATAAACTCAATTTTAGTTTCAGTTTCATTCAATATTAGCTTCATCCCTCTCGTTCTTCTCTCCATCCTTTTTAAATCGTCGATCGAATCATGAATCATTTTGCCAAAACCAAGAATTGTGAACCGTATGAAATCATGAATCGTATGTTTCACTTTGTTTAACATAATATATAGTGATCATATCAAATCATGAATAGTAAGTTTCACTTTATTTAGCATAATATATGAATATATATATATACACATAAAAATACACACATATTGTTTACAATGAAATAAATATCATAACTAAATTGTGTATATACATATAAAACAATGACATCAGTATTTTTAATTGATCTCTTTTTCTATTTTACGAAAATTATGTCATTTCATGTATTATGTAAATATAATTGAAATCGTAGTGTAACAATTGAATTGTATGATACACTCAATTTGAGATTTAACAGCACAAATTGAATTGTTTTGGTTAAAACCCGTATCGAATCATACAAATCAGATCGTGAATCGTAAGAGTCTAACAAGCATGCTTCTCTCCTCTTCTTCAGCTCCATCTTTCTTTCTTTCTTCTTTTTGCTCCCTTTGGTTCTAGTTATCTCAAAGGCAAATTACATTAACGGTCCCTATAGTTTGGGGTTTGTGTCACTTTGGTACCTGATTTTTCAATTATGACACATTTGACCTTGTATTTTGAATCTTGTTCCAAATAAGGACAATTGAAGATACTATCGCTTAATTTCAAGGACAAAATTATCCATTTGATAAAATATACACTAATTTGATAAAAATAAATGTCAAAAAAATATTTTTAAATTTTAAAAAATTATTTCTACACACCAAAAATAAAATTATATAAAATTGATAATTTTTTTTTCGACATTTATTTATTTATTTATTTTTACCAAATTAATTTTTATTATGTATTTGGATTATGATTATATAATTGGTGGTTGTTAAAATTTTAATTTGTAATCGATATATTTAATATATAAAATGTTTTTAGTTTTGGATTTTTTAATTTAATGGATTGGTTTAATAATGATATCAAAGTTGTCGGCATATTTGACTTTTAAAAAAATAGAAACTAATTTAATGAAAATAAAAATAATCACCTATTACATGATTATCATCCAAACACATAATAAAAATTAATTTGGTAAAAAAAGTAAATAAATAATATCTAAAAGATGTATTAATTTTACAAAATTTTATCTTTAGTAGGTAGAAATAATTTTAAAAATTCAAAAATATTTTTTTGACATTTATTTTTATCAAATTAGTTTATGTTTGATCAAATTGACGATTTTGCCCTTGAAATTAAGCAATAATATCTTTAATTGTCCTTATTTGGAACAAGATTCAAAATTTAGGATTAAATGTGTCACAATTGAAAAATCAGAGACCAAAGTCATACAAGTCCCAAACTATAAGGACTATTAGTGTAATTTGCGCTTATCTCAATTCCTTCTCTACCATTTGGCAAGAAGAAATATATTGAGTTTGATTTTTTGAAAATTTAATTTAATTGTCATTATAATTGAAGCAAGGAGAAAACGAAAAATGGTGCTAAAGATGCGTTTGGCATTATGAAAATTATTCTTCAAAAAGTGTATCTTAAATTTTCCCAAACAATACTATTTTTAAAGGATGTCAGTTCATGAAATCCTAAGATTTCAAGAAATAGAATCACATTTGTCATGTGGGTATAAAATGACAATTTGCATTAATACAAAACAAGAAGGGATATATGCATATTAGTGTAGTTGATAGTATTTCAAGTTCTTTACAACTTTGGTGCCATTGTCAGACACAATGCACGCATCTCACTAAACCTCATTTCCCACTCTAAATTGAGCAAAAGAAAAAAATTACAAACAAAGAGAAAATGATGATGATGCTCATCATATCACAACTCCATCTTTGATTGTTGAGTTTTTCAATATGATGCTAATACCTGAACGGATATAAAACCCTTCCGAGGATCTATCAGCCTCTTGTATGCCCTGCAAATTCATATAAAAACAAAACAAAAACACAAAATTAGTTGTGGAATCTTGAAATTTTCTTTTCTTCTTCTTCATTTTCTTGACAACCAAAGGAAGAGTTTCGAAGGCCTGGACCACCATTTTTATCTTGAAATCATTAGTCTTTCCTATATTTTCCACAACAAATTATTTGAAGAAACATTCCTCTGAGTTTGCAATAACAAAATTCTTCCCGATTCTAGCATTCTTGTCAATGATGCAGTCTCTGCATAAAATCATAAAAATGGCCATCAGAGACCGGAAAAGTTGCAGAGAACGATTTTCTAGGAAAATAATGGAAGTGGAAAAGTCTGAGTTAGTGTGTACTTGATTCTTGTATTTTCTCCTATTCCAATCGGAACTCTTCCCTCAGCTAACATTGCTACAATTTCAGCATTGGGTTCGTAGTCGTCTGCACCAAGCATCACCGTGTCCTGCATCATCATCATGTTCCAACTCATTTTAGAGAACATAATGAAATATGATCGTGCAACGGAGAAGATAATAACCATATTTAAACGACGAAATGATATTTGCACTGAAATAAAGAAATTAAATCCATTTCATAAGATAAAATGAGGAAGTTTCTATATTCTACATAAAATCTGCTAGTGTAAATTGTTATGTAATTCTGCAATTATGAGGTCAAGAATATAGTTATCTATGAATTATGAACAGACCTTTAAGTGCACATTGGAGTTTATCCGGGAACGGACCCCAACAACACGTGCTCTATAAAGCAAAATTAGTTGAGAAACTGCCACGAGATAGGATTGAGGCCTCGTTTGGTAAGTTAACATTTTAGTCAAAAAGTTACTAAAAAAACCAAAAAGCCTATAATCTATACTAAAAAGTCAAAGATTCCCTTTTCTCTCTACTTTTTGCACATATTTTCGTAAAAAATCAAAAGGTCACCCCAAACATACTAGTTTTTTTTACCTCCTATTTTAGTCAAAAAATTACTAAAATAGCATGTTCCTAAACGAGGCCTGTATCAACAATCTACAACAAAATATTGGAAGAAAAAAATATTTAGTTTTCATGAAAAAAATGGTGGCATATCTAAAAGCAAGACACTATATACTTGAGATATCCCTTCACAAGTCCAAGGAAACTTAAAAGTGCAAGGAAGATTACAGAATGTAGCTATCCCTATGCCGAGGATAATGAACACTGACAATTTAATTAAAAAGAAAAAAAAAAAAACAAGCAAAACAGGCAAACAAAATTGAGATACACTAAATTCCAAGTCAAAAAAATCTTTTTTGATTGGATGGAAATGAATGAAGAAATACTCATTCGTCGTATATTGAATCTAAAACTTTGGTTCTTCTGAGAATTTGTGCTACTTTATAATGCATATAAAAGTAAATCATGGTTTATACCAAGCAATTTACTTCTTAAATTTTTTAATTTAAACGAAATGTTAGTGAAAATATAAAAAAAAAAATAATAGAGAGCAAAAAGGGGTTATACCATCGAATAGAAAAAAAAAAATGAGTTAAAGAATCAAAATCAAAAAGAGAAAGAATCCGCAAGCCAAAGAGATCTTAAGATCAAATGCACAAAATGTTATTGAGCTAGATAAAGTTCAATTTGCATCATATTTCATATTTTGGAGGTGAGAACTCCAATGGAATCTGTTGAATAGTGCTCATATATTGTTCTTAAATTTATGAAGCCATACTCTATTTTAATTGTAATTAAGGCTCCGTTTTGTATACATGGATTTCAAAAGAAGGGATTTGAGGTTAAATTTTATAAAAGTATAGGAGAGTCGGCTATTATGGCTAGCTTGAGAAACTAAAGAGAAAACTAGAGTTAAAAAATAGTAACTTCTTAGGATTTTTGTACAATTAGAATCCTTAGTATGAAGTATTTGAAATATTTTTATTTTATTGCTAACGAATTCATCCCTATAGAGTAAACTCTAGATACACTTAATCACCTCCCAACCACGTGTTTCAGGTGAGTCTAGGTGCATCACCAAGAAATATTGCCCAAAACGTCTGAGTTTATGGTTTGTCCCAGAGACGTTTGAATGAAGAATTTGAAATAACTACTTTTACATTGTTATTTCAAATTCATCAGGATAAAGTGCTTAAAATCAAATTTGAATCATATATCTAAATTATCAAATCTAAATGTGAGCTAGCTTTTTTAACGATTAGTGTCCAATCCTTTCATTTCAAATCCATAAGCAGCCTGCAAAAATTAACAGCAAGAGAGAGAACTAAGGGGATTTGATGACCTGAAAGAAAATCTAATGCCAACAGGTTGCTCAAATGACAAACAGAATGTAACCAACATTATTGTTATGCACAAAGATATGATCTATTTTAACTCTTGCCATGAGAATTGAAGTTCTGGGAGCATACTGGAATTAAACCTGAAAACATTGAGATTTACCAACCTTGATATTGTCAATCGTTGTTGGTGGTAAATTTCTTCTTGATGTATACATTGGCTTCATAGAAACTAAATCTCGGGGCTGAAAAGGCAGAAGGAAATGTTAAAACTTTTTTTTTTGTTTTTGGAAAGCATTTTTGTTTACTGATAGAATGTCAGTATTAACTGTCATTAAACAAATACTAGAGAGACTAGCCTTTTGAATGAACTTATCAAACAGACTACATTCCATGGACTTTCTTTCCCTTCTACCAAACAATGCGAAGTAAAATATGGGTTTTCTGATACTTACATGTGCAGTAAGAGCAAGGTTTGCTTCAAAAAAGGATCTAATTGTGCCAATGTCTTCCCAGTAGTCGTTAAATAAATATGCCTGCAACATTATGCCAGACATGGTTTAGCTCATTGCCCAATATGCATATACACGAGAAATAAAAAACTATATGTCATAATTGTAGAGAATGATTAATTATTTTCAGGGGAAACAAAAAAAATTTCTATGTAAAATGTCTACATAAAGAGAACGGTTAGAAAAGATTTGATGCTGACCTTTATGAGGAACTCTTTGGCTGAGGCAGGGATTATCTCTGGCCCGAAGTCATTTGCAGTTGGGAATCGCCACCTGACTCAACAAGAATGCATAATTCTTAGTGCTTCCTCAATTTTGACATTGCTTGCTTTAATTTCATTGATAGCATAACCAAGCTGGTATAATTTTATTTTCTCTTCATTCTATTTTTATATTTTAAAATTGTTTTGCATATATCTGACCCTTTCAGATCTTATAGTAGCGACATAATAGTGTAGTGTCATGAGATAACTTCAATTTTTTGGTTCCTTAAAAGGTTTAGAAGCATCTCCTTCTTGAAGACATACACTCCCATGGAAGCAATGTATGGTTTCTTTTCAGCCTCTTCTCTCTCGAGTCCCAAAACTGTTGTATCTACTGCCTAAAGCAAACAAAAACCTTAGGCTGAGTCGGTGTATACTACAAAACTTTGAATTATCATTTGATATTGTGAAGTTATCATAAATTCAAGTATTACCATTGCCTTCAAATCATCTCCTTTGGGCTTTTCGCTGAATGACATGACCCTTCCTTTGCCGTCTATCTTCATCAAACCAAAATCTGAAGCGCGGCTAAAATGAAAACCAAGGGGAACATTTTGAACCTCAAAGGCCTCAGGATCATGCTTATTGAGTCAATATATAATTATAGAGTTGAAACCACTTGGGAAGCCAAGTTGTGAGAAAACAATAACCAAGCTGTAATCCATAGGCAGACAAGAAAGAGTGATATCAGCACCGCTTTGACGATGATTCTGAAATGAAGAATCAAGTCTTCGTGTCAGAAATAAGTGTTTGAATGCACGAACAATGTCAAATCACAAAGCTTGGTATAGGAAAAATAAAATTCAGTGGCTTACTTGAACAAAGTCCATATAGTCCATTCTATACAAGTGATCTCCAGATAAAATGACCACATCTTCAACGTCTTTGCTTCTTTCATCCTACATGATGGAAATCATATTCCAATTGAAACTGGAATAGAAACACTTAGCCAGTACCTCAAAAAGCCAATGAAACTGCCTCACTGTGTTAGCTGTACCTTGGAACCACCTTTTACCCTCCTTACCCGGAGTCTGAGTCGCTGCCAGAGCATGTCACAGAACAGAACAATTTTCAATTTAACCAATCAATCACATATCAACTTACAAAAGATCATCATACAACACGTTCTATATAAAATTGTGACGTTGACTAGAAATAACATAACTTGACATAGCCATCTCCAAAGGTGACACCAGCTCCAAGGTTGTAGGCGCGTGTCAAATGCCTATTGAGCAATGCGGAGTTGAACTAAGTGAGAATGTAGACTCTGTTGATTCCACTATTGATGGAATTACTCATTGGCACATCAATCAAACGGTATGATCCTCCGATAGGGACCTAGAAGTAGAGAATAGGAGAGATAATGAGTAGGCAATAAGCACAAATATAGATGAAGCACAATGACCTTTTGTGAATGCAGTTGGGGTTAGTGGGGGGAAGGTTGTTGGGAGATTGAAAAAGAAGACCTACAGCAGGCTTGGCACTGCATTTAGTGAGAGGGAAAAGACGAATACCGGCTCCACCTCCCAGTATAATCGCCGCGACTGTTCTTGGGTCCCTTTTCTCCATCTCTAGGTCTCTCAACTGCACAAAAAACACATTTTGTTATGACAATTATGTAATTAGGACCCCTCCTACAACTGCAAAAAATAGATCAAGCTCAAGCTTTTCAATGAGCAGCCCATAGTAACTCCTTAAAACACTAGGCTTGCTATTGCATTTAGTCTTTGCCTTGATAAATAAGTAACTTTATTATAGTATAGTGTGCATCATTAATATTAATCAAATTATGTAGGCTTGTCTTGTCTCTAAGATTTTTTGAGAAATTTAATACGCGTCCCCTTATTATCATTTGCTGCCCCTAAAGTTAAAATCTTGTGTCCATGCATCAAACCTCCCCCCACCCTCAAGTTTGAAAAACCAAAAACCTTATTATAGATATAGCAGTGTTTGTCATTAATATTATCAAATTATATTATATAGGTTTGTCCCTTAAGATTTTTTAAGAAATATAATATCCGTCCTCCTATTATCATTAAGTGCCCTCCTAAAGTCAAAATCTTGCGTCTGTCCTCTCCCCCCACAAGATTTTAAAAAAAAATTATAAATTATTTTTTATTATGGTATAGTTATTAATATTATCAAATTATAGATATTCACCCCCTAAGATTTAAAAAAAAAAAAATTAATATTTGTCCCCTTATTATCATCTCCTTAATAAGGTAAAATCCATCTCCTTATTATCATTCACTACCCTTGAGTTAAAATCCTACTCTGTCCTTGCATCAGCCGCAGGGAGAGAGAGAACTCACCTTAGCCTCACCAGCAACATTAGTAGTGAGAGTCATGCACACATGTGGTCTAACATTGCCCTTGACACCCTTCAGCTTCTTTCCCATCAACTCTCCATTGCAGAACTTCACTAGCCTCTTCCCTGCCAATGATGCCGTGGCGCCACTCAATTGGCCGGCAGCTGACAAGGTAATCCGGCCATCGGCTGATAAAGCCATTTTCTCCAAAACCCAAGGTTAAAATTGGAAATTAAAGTGTATAAAAATGCTTGCTTTGTAAAAATTTAAATGGAACTATGTATAGAAGCAAAGCAGCTGAAAAGGAGAGGTTGAGAGCTAGAGTTGCTTACATAGCATGCATGGTATTGGAGGATTGAGCCGAGTTATCCGAATTCAATTGAATCCACTAATTGTTTTTGTTTTCATGTGACCCTTTCAAAAAAAAATGACCCTTCAAAAAAAAAAAAAAAAAAAAACAGACAATAGGTGCATTTATAAGAAAGCCCTCAGACTGAGTTTGTGATTACCAATATGCTATAGTTTCAGGATCTATTATGCTATCTATGAAAAATGATTTACAAACAAAATTTTGTACAAAACACTCATCTAGAATGATGTGACAGTGACATTTGAGAAATTACGAGTCATAATGGTAGGGTTTTGGTTTGAAATGGAACGCTTAGAAACAACCTCATCATGCTTTATCAAAATTTTGTATAAATATTTTATTTGTATATCATTATTCATTATCTATTATTGAGAAACAAGCAATGAATGCTTATTGTGCCCTCTATTGTGAACTTTGTTTGGGTCTGAATGGACCCATTAAGATGATCTGAACTGTTCAAAATGTAATACATGTCGAACAAATTATTCATGTAGAAAAAATAGATTGATTGAATATCGAATGCCACGTGATAAAAACATCTTTAAAAAAAAGTAAACAATAAATGTGATTTTGTGAATAAACCTTTTAATTTTTGAAAATGTGATTAGATATGTGGCTATTAACGTCCAATTAATTTGATTTATTATATGAATAATCTACTCAATAAATCTTACAAAATAATAAACAATTCTGATCATCTCAATATGTTGTGAGTGAACCCCGTTGAACCTGACAGTTCCATTCCCAAGAAATAGAGACCATGTAAGTCATATGAGGAACTAGACAAAATATGAAATATCTAGGAGTATGATTCTTTAGGATCTACTTATATTTCTCGGATTTTTCTATTTTGGGAAGAGTTTTCTGTTATCATTTATTAGGACACCTTGGGATGAGAATTATGGATTCTGGAGGTGTGAGAATGAGGACACCTACATCAACATCTAGTTTTCATTTTCATCATCTTATTGGATAGCAAGTTATGGCATAGAGCATAACCTTTTAGCATTAACTCACTTGCAGTTCACTAATTTTGCAATTGCCTTTCCCATTTTTCATTTATATGGTATTTTCAGTTGGTACTTCTAAAAGATTGTTGACCTTTTTCTTTTTTCTTTTTTTTAAGTTGAGTGGTTGTAAATAAAAAGTAAAATAATTATCATTTGAATATGATATTTTACCTTATTTGTTATTTTAATTTATTTTGTCTTTATTAACTATTTTAGTTTCCAACCCTCTTCCTAAACAGGGCCATGACACTTTTTTTTTTTAAAAAAAAAAAAAAAAATCAATCGGTAAAAGATTAATTAAAAAATAAAAAAATAGCATAATATTAGACAAATTTTGTTTGATAACGCATAAATAGAAGCCAAATAATCACCATTAAAAATTTCTCATAATGAGAAGAAATAAATACTAGACACAACTCAATAATTAGACAGAAATAATCAAATTTTACATTTAACAAAGATTGATTCACTGAACTTCTAGATAAAGAGTGATTAACTGAGTTTTTTTTCTTTTTTTCTTGAGAACATAGAAAACAAATAGTAAAAATAACAACATACGGAATAAAATCCTAAAAGGCCATACAAACCATACAACAAAAGGAACAAACTGCCAAAAAAACTAGCTATGATCCAAGAAAAACTACCAATCTCAACATCAAACCAAACAAGATCTGCTTGTAAACCTGCTACCGAACTCCGTCGCTGCAGTATTTCGGACACAGCCAAAAGCTAGAGTTGGTAAGAAGGTACACCTACAATGGTATAGGAGAAGACTTCAGAGAGGAGAGAATCATTATAGGGATAGAAAATCCAAAATTTTATGTTGAAAACGGAGGAAAAAACTCTCAAACTCCTATTTCATACCTAAAAAGTTCAGATTTACACTCTAAAATTGCAGATCTATTTATTCATTTTTTTAATCCACCACAATCAAAAAAAAAAACTTATAATGAAAAGAAATAAATAATTTAAGAACAAGTTCCCTAATAAGAAAAAATAATCAATTTTAGAAATAAAAAGTCTAGAATACTGAAACCAATAGGACACAACTCTCTCTCCCATAAAGTCTATCTCACCTTTTTGTTTTCTCCAGAGTCTTATGAGAGGGTTGTGAGGGTTGTGTCCAATTTTAGGGTCAATTTTCTGTGTTCCTAAAGGAACTGATTTAGAAAATCAGTTTACAAGGGGGTGGAACTTTGAATGGAGTCTCTTTATTTGTAAATGATCCTTTGGATAGAACTCCCCATTTAAGCACTCTTTAATCTGGTCTTGGCTATGAACAGATAGCTTTGGAGTGCAAGCAACAGAACCCAAGTGGTTTTTGTGATCTTCTCCTTCACCATCAAAAGCAATGCTGAGCTTAACACAGTCTTCAAAATCTGAGCATCTAATCCTTTGAAGAAACCAAGTAGCCCTTCCCTTCTCCAAATCATTTGGAGTGCACCTGATACTGTTTTTCGGGATCTCAGTCGAGCTTCCTTCTTCCTGTCTTCTTCTGATTCGGCAGCCTGAATCATCACCTTACACCTGTCCACAGACAATTTTATCAATTTTTCTGACAAAAAACACAAAGAAAAGGGTGGGTAGCACAATTGTGGGTATGGGCATACTGATCCGTGAAAAAAAGGATATGGATACCGTCAGATATATCCAAAAAATACATTTTTCTTACAATTTACTGTGGTGCATGATATATAACAATTAGAAAATCAAATGGAAACGTAATTAATGTTGAGTTGAGGCATTGTCTGAGAGTCGATGATCGTCAATCCTAATTGGTTGATCTTTGCAGACAGAGAATGAAAGAAGCTTTGTGATCGTGAGACAGAGCGAGATGCAGATCTCTATAACGACCCAAAAAATCTTAAGTAATATTTTATGTTTTTGATAATTGTAAAAATATTCCATATTTTTTAAGTTTTTAAAAATAGCCACAAAATAATTGTTCTAATATCTCTATATTTTAAAAATATATATATTTATGTCCCAACGTATCCAAAAAAGTATGCGAAATGTACTCCTCCCGTACCCAACATTTAAAAACAGAAGACAAGAAAAAGCACCGGATGCTACCTGCAATGCATACCCAATACTTTTATGACAATCTTTTTGGAATACTCATGCTTCGTATTTTCATTCAAAATGCATATGCCTATTTTTCATAAAAATTCAGAGTCCATGAAATGAACTTGTGAGGCATCTAACATCCTCTTCATATTGAGTTGATGGAAAGTAACAGAATAGATAATCTACCTGATAGCTGGATATGTTAAGCAGGTGGCAATACACTTGGAGACTGCACCCAACACGAATGCAGATACAGCAGAAAGTGACTCCGAGGATGATTCTGTACCTAGCTTCTTGCTTAGCTGCCTCCTTTGAAGTCTCTGTTTCAACTGATCAAATACAGTGTACTGCACAACATTTATCATATTTTGCAATTACAACTCCTCGTCTTGGTGTTTACCCGAAACGTAAAGCATAAATCCGTAGCTAGAAATTGTACTGGTGACTATCATTTCCATCTAGAATATAGCTAGGATTAAGGCAATCACCTCCATTTATATAATACAACAACAAACGAAAAATAGTCATTATCATGTGATATATTATTTAAATTTCTTAGGTCCATCTAAGCCAATCACAACTTAGAGATTTCATACTAGAAAGCACACAACTAAGTACCTGGATAGATGGATTTGTGGTGAGAAGAAGAGATATGCCAAGAGCGTCGCGAATGCCTCACTCCAAGTGCCCTCTGAAAGGGTTTTCCAGAGTCCTTTGGATTTCCCAAATTCACTTGTTTGCATCCTTGATGATGCTGTATCCAAAGGCTGAACAACAAAATCATAAATTACCATATATAAAATACATATACTATGACCTAGAGAGAGAGAGAGAGTGAGAGAGAGAGAGAGGTCTTAAATTAAATATGAAATGTTACTACTTTATTCTTCGAGACATTTGCTGAGACTACGTCATTGAAATTACAAATCAAGTTATAATTAGAACTCACAAAATAATTCCAATCAACGTTTCATTATCCTTACTTTTGTTATGATTCCCTTCTTATTTTTCAACATTCCAAAAGTTTTCAAAAAACAAATCAAGCTTTCTTTTCCATGCAATGTTCACCTAGGCGAATTGGTAAATTGTACTTTAATCAAACAAGGATCTCATGAACTTCAAATAATTCATTGCTCAGCGAAAATCACTGTGATATGAATGACCGAAGAAGGGTGTTTGGTTGTAATTAACAAGAAAAAAAGAAAATGTATTACTGATTAGCAATAAACCGAGCCAATATATAAGCTCACCTGGGTCACAATGACAGTACAAGCCCCTGCAGCAGCAGCAAGAACCAAATTAGCTTTTGTATCAATAGATTTAAATCCACTTTTCTTCAAGTATAGCTTCTTAAAAAAGCTGTATCCATAGAAGTAGATAAACTGAAAAATGAAGGACTGCAGATTCTTTGTCCCAAGGCCCTGGTACAGTGAGAGTACTTGATGGTTAGAAATTGCTTCCCAATACACATCAGAAATGTTCCTGAATTGGCAAAGCAGGTGAATTAGTTAACCATTTCTCAAAGCAGTTGGAAATTGGATCAGATCCAACCCAATCCATAACTCATGGAGTGCCCACATGAGAACCAGTTCAATTCTTCTGAGATTGAGATTGAAACTCTAATCTGGGCTTCTATCGACAAACTGAAATTTTTGGTTTGTAACAACTTTTGTTGAGTCAAGATGCTTGACGAGGCATCAAGTTACAAGAAGTCGCATTTTGTTTTAAATTTGAATGCACAAGTTCATTGGTCTCATAATGCGTAGTTCACAACAATTCCTAATTTTTTTGAGCTAATTGATAAATTATATGACAATCCATACGTAGTTAAGCTATATGATATCATATTAGAACATGGGTCATGGTTGAAAAGAAACGTATAATCTTTCCTTTGTCAGGTAAATGTTGTGAC